TCATTGAGTGTGCCTAAGGAGAGTCACAGGGAGAGAAAACATTCTCTCAGGCTTTCACAGAGAGCAAATTGGTCAAGCAATGGCCGTAACTCATCCACATGGCTGACGCTGATAAAGAATCTGCAAACCGTGGTACAGGGTTACAGGATAAATCCTGAGGGTACTTGACTGACCTTATCAGATACAAAAGTTACATTTCTTGTTATATAGGTGTTGCTTTATCTTGGTCTTAACCATCCAGCAGAAAATTATAAAAATGAGGTATATAAAGTAAAGTCATATTAATATGCTGAGCTGTGAAAGGCTCAAGTCAGCAACTTCTGTGGATAACCCACTACTATTGCGGACTGCTGGACTGTTTTGGATTATTTTGCTGAATTCACGCACCTATAGTATTTAGATGCCAATTTAGAATACCCATCTTTAACAGGACTAAACAAAAAAAGGTGATACAAAGGAAGGACCATTTTGTATCTGTATATACAGAATAGTTAGGATAGATATACAGCTACTTTTGCTTAATTCAATGAGAAGAAAGATTTGTACTAATAGTGTTTGGACAGGATATCCTGTCTGCATCTTGTACTATGGATAACCACTAAGAAGATAACAATATACAATGTATTAATTATTGAAACTGTCCTATTAATCAGTTTTGGAACTGTCTCATTGTTATTTGTTTCTCAATAAAATAAAATAAATAAAAAAATAAATTATCCGGTCTGTGGTCTTTTGTTACAGTAACAAGAATAACTAGAGACAAAAATTTGTGATTGTATATAATCTTCAAATGCTTTAATAAGGTAGACAAGGCCTTCAATTCCCTGTTTTATGCATGAGAAAACAGTGGCTCAAAGAGATTCAACCACTTGCTCACGGTCACTTGTTTGTGTCAGCACAAGAGCTCCAGCCCTTGGCACACCTCTGTCTGTTGTCTTTACCACAAAGTGGTTTAGAGACACATTGAAGTCAGCTCAGTTCCCTCTCTGGGACAGCTATTTACAGAGATTTATACCCTGTCCTGCTAATACCCTTTGATCTCTATGCAGGCATCCCATGCACACTGATGGAGATGGGGTGATTAGTTCAGGTGAGGGTGGGTGGAACAAGAGGTCCCAGGTCTTGCGTGTGGAGTGAACTCTTGGTTTCTGCCTCTGCCAATATGTGCCCTAGATCACAGCAGATGCTGGCTTCACCTGTACTGAGTCTTTGTGTCAGGAGGTAGTCATGGAAACTCACTCCCTTCCTAAGCTGATAAGTAGACAATTAGGTAGAATGGAGGAATCAAGTTAATTGCCTGTCATCCCTCTCTGCTCTTTGTGTATTGATTCAAATTAAGCATTTTCAGTTTTCTAATGTCAGCAGATACCAAATGATCAGAGCATAGATCTGGGAGTTAAGACCTCCAGGAAGAAACCAGTTCTGAGTGAATCCCTTAATCTTTCTTCCTCTCTGTTTAGTTCTGACCCAAGCACTTACTAAAAACATATCCTTTTGCCTGACCTCCCTTGGCTTCTGACCCTGAAGTCTCTCACTTGTTCTGATGCTAGCCATCTCTGATGCTGCATACATCCAACCAGCTGTTCTCTGTCAGAGAAAAGAGATAATTCAAATTGTGTCTTGCATTTGTTGAAATCCCCATGCATCAAGAAAGAAATAGTTAAATAAACCAGCTCTGGGTGGTCTTTGGTGTGCCTTGTGGGGCAGGGGTGGCACAATCTGTATGACTCTGACACTAGCAGTTCAGCTGTCACCTGAGCAGAGCTGCAGAAGTCCTAGAAACAAAGCCCCTTCCTTTCCTATCCTGGCTCTTGGACTCTATTTTTTTTATAGCCAGTTGGAATTGTTTTGGATTCCCTACACAATCCATGCTAGTTCTTATACTTAGCTCTTCAAGCAGTATCTTTCTACCTTTTTGTTTTTATATCTCCATTCTGACAATATTTGTCTGAAAAGTCTTCTTAAACTAAATAGAGAGCTTCCAAACACCATGGTTCTTCTTTATTATAGATAGTCAGGCCATCACTATATACAAAAATTCTATCTCCATACTAGACTAAAAGCTTCTAGGAGGCAATGATCATGTCTTCCAGGATGGTATTTCTCAGCAGCAAGCACCCTGCTTGGCACATAGAAGGTGATCAATCATTATTTAGTAAATAAATCATTGATTTAGTAAATAGTTATTGCAGAGTAATCTCCTAGAAGAAGAAAATGTTAACTTAAGGTCTAGAATTGAATGTTGGTTGTAGTCTCTTTGGATTTTCATAGTTCACATTTTTTTCCAAATGTAGGCAAATATGAACTTCTTTACGTTGTAGGATAGTTGTCTCCAAGAATTCTGCTGTGCTTCATTCAGGCCAACATTTCTTCTGAGATTTTTGACCATGTTGGTTCTGACAGCAGTGAGCACCAAGGTTGAGTATGTTGGTTCATGGTGGGAAAGGTATAGAGAGAGGAGCTGGGATGAAGGGTCTCAGGATAAAGAGACTGCAGTGATGTTTGGGATCCTTCCTGGATCAGAAGAAAGTTCTTTGAAGCAGATGTTGTTTTAGGATAAAGACATGAAGTAAAAGATGTTTCTAAGTTTAAGGGTGAAAATGAAATATAATTTTCACTTTATTTCTCTTTGGAGATTTACAGGGTTCTTGGGAGTATGAGAAGGTAGAAAAAGCAATAAATTAGGATTTAGCACATTTGAGTGATTTTCTGCTATGATTAACCAAGTGGGAGACAATTGTTCTTGGCCTCAGTTCTTAATTATATAAATAGAGAAGTAGAACCAAATATACTCTAAGGACTGTTCCAAGATTCCACAAAAATAGATATGGATTTCCCTGGCTACTGTCTTAGAAATTGAGAGTGAGATTAATGTCTTGGACTGTGTTCTATGAACTGTGGGGTGTAGGTGGGTGGGGCAGGGTGAGACTTCTCCCAAGACCTTTGTTTTATCTTTTCCTTCTCCTCCTTTTCACATTTTCCTTCACCTTGGTGGTGATATGCAGTATTCTATGGTGGCTGACCATGGCTGGGAGAGTGGATGGATGTAGTTGTGAATACTAGTTCTGCCACTTATTCACTGTGGTTGTGATCTGGGGCAAGTGTCTTGATCTCACTTAACATTGGCTTCATCATCTATAAAACAAGCCACAACATATTTGCCACCTTAGCTTCATGAAGATACTAGTATTGATGTTTATAATTTCTGCCTTCACAACTCTGTTATTGATAGAGAATTCTATGGTCTTTGTCTTATTGCTTCAGTGGTTTTCTGTTTGTTTTGCATAGAAAAATCTAGGAGTCATGAATTTTTACTTCTTCAGATTTTAATTGTTCCAGGCTTCACTTTGCTTGTGCCATACATATTGAACTGGATGGTACAGTACACAATTATAGTGTGCAGAACAATTTTTTCCTGCTGATTTACAGTATAAACATTATTACAGATAATAACATTTCTTAAAATTCTGGAATTAAAAGCATTCAGAAGTAATAAAAACTAACTCACTAGTGTTATATATGTATTTCCTTGTTCTAACCATGAATAAAATGGGTCAAGAGAGGCCCAGTAAAGGATTCCGTGTAAAGTTATTGTGCACTTTAAAGTTTTAACAGTATTGCAGTAGACATCTACTGTGCCTATACACTAGCTGATTAATTGACATTCATTGATGAAAATATTTCATGATGAAATTCATGGATGAAAACAATTAATGAATTATCCATGAATTTTATCTTGATTATGCAATCAATAAAAAATAGCTTTTGTCAGTGAGAAGGAGAATGTTTAGTTCATTCTAAGTACAGTTTTGAATGGCATTTGCTAACTCTTTCTGTTATACTTTTAATCCCAGTCCTTGGAGTGGTGATGTTTAGGATTTTCATGGGATTTTACAAAGTGCCATATGATGGGACTTTGGACAGCCACACTACCTGGTGCCCTCAGCTCTGACGTCCTCAAGCAGTTTGAGTGAGTCCCTACCATGGTTAGGCTAAGTAGCGAATGGGCAAACATAGGAATGAGCCAAGGACTCCTTGACAGGAACATCCTACTCATTATCTGTTCAGAACCAAGGAGGTGCTGACACGTTGCAGACACTCTGTAGTAAGTCTCAGTCTCAAAGTACTCTGTTAATCAAAGCATGAAGATGCCCTGGCTAGAAAATATTCCTGTATTATGCAAAGCATACTTAAAGTATGTTCTGAATCACAGAGTTCAACAGTGAACTTTGAGCTGTGAGCATTGTCATTCCTCCTTAATATCTCCACCTTGAATCACTCTGGACATTGAGACTCTGAGATTGCCTTGAGAGAGTAAAGGAAACATTCAAAAGATCTCTTCAGCTAGAGTTAAAAATAGAAGGGTAGCAAAGCTGGAAAATAAAAGCACAGGTCCCAATGTGGGACAGTGTCTGTGCTGGGGTGAGGAGTCCCTTCACCAACTTAGCCAATTAGATGCTGCAGCAAGGTAGGAACACTGCCTTGCCTTTCACACTTCAGGGTGCATTGAAGGAAGAAAGCAAGTAGGAGGGAATGGGCCCACGAGAGTACAAGGTGAGTTGTGCTGATTGTTGAAAGTCAAAAGGATGAGAGACTGTCTGTTCTGCAACATGGCTTACTGGCTGAGGTTTCAAGGACCCCTGGAAAGTCGAGAATGATGAGTTCTGTTTATTTATCCTTCACTATAATGAATCATGCCTCCAGTGGTGTGTGTGTGCGGGGGGGTGAAGAGTCATGTTCAGCTTCTTTCTCAATTATTGCTTATCACTTAAGGGTTTTCAACCCTTTGATTGTCAGAATGAAGTCAGATATTAGCTGGGGAGGTAGAACATTCTGTTTTGTAGAAAGCAGTTGGCCACATCTGCCATGCAGGGACATCTGGTTCCAGCAATCTTTGTATCACATGCCAGAGGACATTGCACAGTCTTTTTGAGCAGGCTGTGGCCATTGGGCACAACAGCTCGGCAGTCAGAGGTTGGCACGGGGCTTCCTTTTCACCTTCCTTTAGCAAGACAAGATCTTGAGGAAGGCTTTGCGGAACTCTATATTGAAGGTGGTGTAGATCACGGGGTTGAGGGCACTGTTCACATAGCCCAGCCATGTAGTGGCTCTGTAAAGCTCTGGTGATACATGGCATGCTTGGCAATGAGTATTAAGAACATGGGTCAAGAAGAAGGGCAGCCAGCAGACAATGAAGGCCCCTGGGTTGCAAAGGAAGAGAGAAAGAAGGTAAGGAGTTCATTTACTCATTTGTAACAACATGGGAATGACCTACGGCTGTGACTTTATGTCGGCCATGATGCTGAAAGTTTAATATATTCATTTGCTTTTTCCAACAATCCTATCAGTAGATGCGATCAAACACATTTCTTTTTTCTGTTTAGATGAGAAAACTGCATGCTAACGTCTTTGATTTACCTTAGGCCTTTGTTACTGTATCCATTTTCTACTTTGGCATTTGGGTAGTTCTTTACAATCATTTCTTCTCAGTTCGGTTCAGGTATTTATTTGGTGCCTGACTATGCAAAACACGATCTGAGGTTCTGATAGGGACAGAGACCTTACAAACATGACTGACACAGGTCCTGCTGTTGGACAGGGACATTTTGGAGGTTCTAATAAAGTTCCTCATATAGAAGAACACTGGGGCTTTTCAATGATGCTGAACCTTCTGCGACTCTGTATGGCACCCATGACATCAAATTTTAATTTATTTATTAAAAATATGTACATTCTTTTTACTATAAATAATATCTTTGATTGTATACATAATGAGAACTTGACAGATATGGGAGATTAAAAAGATCCATAATAGCCAACCACCACTAAAGGAAAATCATTTTTGATATCTTGCTGAATTTCTATCCATGCTTTTTTTCTCTGTATTTAAAGTAATCTAGATGTTATCACATTGTATAACAGTAGTGTCTTATAGTCTCATTTTCATTTAATGTATTTTAAAATACTTAATATTTTAAAATAATTGATTAATAATTAAAAGTCCAACATTCAGACTTTTATTTACTCATTCAATTTATACAATTTAATTCCATAAGATGGTAAAATATAGCTTAATTAGTTGATTTGTTTAGCTTCATATGTTTCACCTAGGTTTTTTGAATTTCCACCAGTGTTAGTATTTATTAATAAAACCTTTCAGTTGTATTATAAACATAAATATTATAGTCATTGAATTTCTAATTTCTGTCAAATGTGGCTATTCTAACATCTACTATCAACTCCAATCGACCTAAGCTAACCTAATTTAGCCTAGCCTCTTGTAGCTTAGCCTAGTCTAACCTAACTCAACTTAACCCAACACATGCCAACTCAAACTTACCAAGTACAATGGCCACCATTTGGGTTGCCTTCTTCTCTCGCAGTGGCATTCCCCGAAGCTGTAAGGACCCCAGTTTGAGGGATGTAGATAATCTGCCATTACTAAGTTTTCGAACCTCTAAACTGAGTTTGGGTGCCATGTTGGGGCTCAGGGAGTTCCGAGTCCTATCCTCCCCTTTTAATTCTCCTTCTTCTTGGAAGCTTGGTCGCCTCAAGGTGGTACTTTGGCAGATGCTGTAGTAGCGTTTCAGCTCTGTGTGTGCTTGACCAGGAGAGAGAGGCTGTGGGTGTGAAAAGAGAGGGTTCTCACATTTCTGGGGGTATTGTTATATTCTGTGTATTTAAAGGGAAAGAAAATGTGAAGTAGGAATAGAAGGCCATGTGTGAAATCTACAGAAGAAAGAAGAGAATGGTGGAATTGTAGAAAGTTACAGGAATGAACTTTTTTAATTCTTTTTTTTTTTTTTTTTTTTGGCAGAACTGGGGATTGAACTCAGGCCCCTACACTTGCCAGGGAAGCACCTATTCCACTGAGCCATTTCCTCGGCCCCTTTAATTCTTAAAAAATATTTATTTATTTATTTATTTATTTATTTGGTACAGGGTCTTGCTACATAGTTTGGACTGTCGTGATCCTCCTGTCTCAGCTTCCTCAGCACTGGGATTACAGGTGTGCGCCACCATACCCGGTTTTGGGGCTAGCACAGTGCACTTAAGGACCCATGGCCAGCCTGGGATGTGGTACCAGGGAATCAAACTTGGGACCTTGTGCTTGCCAAGCAGGTGCATATACTCCTAAGCTATCTTCCCAGGCCCTAAAATATGTTTTTGACTCTACAACTAACTCCAAAGCACCTACCATGTATAGTATATTTGATAGTCACAGCAATCTCTTGAGGAGGGAGAAGAGGATTATAATATGGCCTTTCAGACTTAGTGACCTGATTCTATAGAGGAACATGGTAAGTGATAACACTAGGGTGCAGGAAGTAAACTTCAGAATGCAGGAAATTCCATAAATAATTCAATTATCAACAGTTAAATTCTAACAACAACAATAACCACCCTACCAGCACCTGCCAGGAGAAGCCTTACTTGAGTTTTGATTCAAGCAAACTAATCATAAAAACATATAAGACAATGGGGAAATTTGAATGTTGATTGGATATTTAATGATATTAAAGAACTATTACTAATTTTTTAGTGTGATGTAATATCATCATTATGTGCTTTATAAAAGATTTCATACTCTTTAGAGGATCTTACAGAAACATTTTCAGGAGAAATAATATATTCAAGATCTGCTTCATAATAATCTGGGGGGGGTATGTGAATGTAGGTGGGAGCAGAGATGAAATGATTAGCCCCAAGATGGTAATTGCTGAAAGTAGCTGATGGTGGCTAGACTGTTTTGTTATATTCATTTATCTATTTTTTTAATCTCTGAAATTTTCTGTAATAGAAAGTTTTAAAAAATGGAAACAAAAAAGAAGATTCAGGATTTTCATCTCAGCTTTCCTACTTAGTACATCTAGTCCTTCAGCAAGTTAATATAACATCTCTAAGCCTTATTTGTAAAACAGAAAACAGAAAAAAATGAGTTGGGGGTGGGTGAGTAACTTCTGAGAGTAGAACATGTGAATTTTCCCGCTAATTTGCTAAGGTGAGAAAGTGGTTATGTGTGGGTCCAATAGCTAAACTTCTTTCCATATTTGAAGTTCAGAATTTGTGTCAACATTGAATAGGAGGCCAGTCTCCTCAGCTCCCTATATATAAACAATAATAGCTAGCTATTCAGTCTGCACTTTCCATCTCTGCTGTCTACCCAGCTCCTACAGCTCTGGCACATGAACCCAGTCCAGGAAATTGGAGATGACATCTGAGACTCGATAATGAAAATAGAGAAGCAGACAGACTTTGGCCTGCATCTAAGTGTGGTGAAATTCAGTGTCCAGTGTCCACTGTCTTCTAACCAGATTATTCCTAAGGCATGAACAACATTTCAATAAATTTCTTCAGCCTTCTCACTCAACCTGTGAAAATGCCTGACTAGATTCCAGTAAATTCCTTTTCTGTGTAAGTTAGTTAATGTCACAGAACTCATTTCTCTTTCTTTAGCTCGAAGAATCCAGGTAACAGTGCTGATGCGCTGTGCATACTCAGAAGCATTGCTGAAGGATCAAGTGAATGCAAAAGGATTTTTATTGACTTAGTGTTTTAAAACTGTGCTCCATTGTGGTATTATTAGGGAATCTAAGAGAACATACTTGAAAAAAGCTCTGATCTTAATTTTTACGGAATTTGCTAGCAATTAATAAAGCCATTTTGTTTTGACAACTCAAAACCAAGATTATATTTATGAGTAAGCTGCACATATTGACCTAAAGATGACAATATTTCACTTTTAATGTATTATTTCTAAAAGTAGGAGAGTGAGGACAAATTCTTAGGAGTACTTATGAAATGTAAAGCTGGGGAACATTCTGTTTCTATTTGACAGATGTAGATATTCAGTCTTACGGAGGGAAAGTGACTCATCTAAGGTTGCATATTGGTGAGCATATTTTTCCACTCTCTTTGGAAGGCCTTATCACTACCCCCATAACCAACAGAAGGACATGCTGGACTTCTCTTTGTCTGGCCAAGAGAGATCTCTACTCCCAGAAGGTAGGACAGGAGTTGATTCTTAATCATTCCAGCAATGCAGCCTCTCAATTTTTTAGTCTCTCTTTTGTAGTCAAACACTGTTCCTTTAGCCTTGGAGCCTCCTCAGAACTCAGATACACCATAGGCAGCTTTAAGGTGCCCAAGAGCCTCTCATTGCTATATAAAGCCTGTGTAAACATGGTTAATTAACTATTCAGAGACTGGATAAGACTCAGACTTCATTATGGGCTTTTGCAATTTAATTCATAATGTGAAGTTCAGGGAGAAGAATATTAGTCTTCAATCCCTCCAGGCTCTATTATGCACTCCTCTAGCCAAGGAGACAGGGCTCACTTCAATTGGAAAGACAAGGCTTTGGGTGACCATGAAGTTGTCTCAGTTTTCTCTCTATTCTATGGAAAATAGGGCCTTTGAAAGCCTCCTTTCCCTGAATTTTCTTGGCTTTTCTCATGTGTATTTCATTGGTATTCTGTTTCCTCTAATGCAGGTGGCTCTGGTTGATAACGTCAAGCCAGACCCAAAAGTCCCTGGATCCAGTCACTGGCTCCAGTGATGGGAATATTGTCCAATATTCTCATGCTTTCTAAGTATTATTCAGCAGATCACATTGTGAAGTTTAATCAGGTAGAATGTCAGATATTCTTGTATATTACAAATGTTTCTAGGGTCAGACTTATGATAGATTTCATTTCAGAGAGGTAGGGTAATTAAATAAAACAAGGCAGTATCTTGAGCAAAGTTCTCTTATTCTTTGCTATGATCTACAATACAATCTACTTACCATTTTTCCTGTGGCATCTGATGCAAATCTGGTCCTTATTGAAAATTGTTTGATAGGATGCAGCCGCAGGCAGGCAGACTAAAGAGGATAAAGGAGAAAGTCAATTATGCGCTAAGCTCTACCTAGTTGAGCCATCTTTCATGTAACCACAGAGCATGGCAATGCATTGTATTCACATCCTCAGCCTTGGGACCTGGCTTTCTATTGAATGGGGACCAGTAGTTGTGTCCTACCCAAACCTTGGGACATCAACTTTGAGTTGACAACTCAGGTCATCAGGGATTGATCTTGACACCTAAACTTGTCAGCCTTGAAGATCAAACTCTATCCATGAAGTCCTTTTCTGAGCACACCTGTCTTTCTTGTCTCATAAGTTTTAGGGTGCGTCACATTTGGGTGCCTTACTGTGTTTATCCCACATAGAGCAAGCATTCTGTTAGTTCTGTGCTGCTCATTGACTTTGGGTGGAGGTAAGATTTATTTATTTGTTTAAATTTTAAGCTCCACAAAGGCAGAAGCTATATTATATTCCTATGGTCCCTTCTTAGTAGATTATACGTGATTAGTTTTCATGCTTTGAGTTCATTGCCATGTGCCAGACACTGGGATAACCAAAATCTAAAGCCCAAGAAATGGAAGCTCAGTGATGAGGAACTACTCTCCTTTTCAGAGCCTAGAAAGACTCATCCTGTTTCATCAGTAGGCTAGTGCCTTGACATAAGGGCAGATCAGGCAGTTAAAAAGGCTTCATTGGATCCCAGTGATTCCTGGAATGAATTAATGGTTTGGACAAGATGTTGATTCTTAGAATTCACCAGAAGAGCAGGATACAGCTGTCATACTAACACCCCTCCTCCAGTAAATCAAATAAAACCTCAACTTTGTGGAATTGCTGGCCATTTGGATGAAATGAAGGCTCTGAGGGAAGCAGAATAAGCCAGACGCTCTCCTAACATCTTGTCAATTAAGGTGTGTTCTTAAGGAGACTGTCAATGAACTCTTGCAATTGGATTTCCTACCTTCAAGGCATGGGCACTACCAGTTTAGAAAGTAAGTATAGATATGTTTCTCCTCAGTGTCAGTGTGGGCATGACAGGCAGGGTGGACATGGGCTAGAAGGCTGGGGGTGGGTGCTGCCATCTTCCTAATGTTCCCTCCTTGGTGCTTACTTGCTGAGGGAAGTCAGGCCTGACACTGATACACTGACTGTTCTGTCGAGTGAGGATCCGTTTCCTTCTCCTTTGTCTCAGCACCATGTAGATTCTGGCATAGACGAGGACAGTCACTCCAAAGGGCACATAGAAAGACACTACTGAGGAGTAGATGACAAAATCAGGGTTGGAGATGGAGCAGATGCTGGGATCCCCTGTGGGCGAGAGAAGGGGAGAAGCTGATGCACTTTGCCACATATTAGATCTCATTAGGGAGTGTGGAGCGCAGCCCATATGGCACATGATGCTTCCACCTCCAAATGCATGGAGCAGGGGGGCATACAGTTGCAGACACTTATGCTGTCAGCTTCTGGAGGTTAGAAGCTTAATTCATCTTTGTGTTTCTTACAGTTCACTTCAAAAGAAACTTCACCAATGATTATATGCCAGACAAGGCTCTGACTGGGGCTGCAAAGATGACTAAGACAAAGTGTCTGCCCTTGAAGGTGAGTCTGGATAGGCAGACGGGCCCCTCCGTGTGCTGTGAAAGTACAGCCTGGGGGCCTGAGGGAAGGGCAAAGCCTCCCAGGAGGGCTGGAGCTGCTGGAAAAGGGCCTGATGGGTGGAGGTAGGAAAGGGCTGTTGGAAAGTAATGAAAAGAAGGAGCTTCCTTTGAGTTTGGAGTGTGGGGTGGGTGGTGGCTAAGTAGAAGGCAGACATTTGCTGGGAAGCCCAACACTAGGCAGGGGCAGGATAGAAGAGAGCTGGCAAGAAGACTGTCAGAGTAGTGAATGAATTCGGAGGTGTTCGTGTTCCTGCTTTACATCATTTTGCCACTCCTTTGTAAGAGATTCTTATAGCTTTGTCTTCTTTACTAACAGATATTGAAATTCCCCACTTCCCTGGACAGGGCCTGAAACTTACTCCATCTCGAAATGGAAATGGGAACCAAACTAAGACCTAACAGGCTGTGTACCAATGGCTTTGTACACATCATCTGCAGGCTCTATTACTGCCTTTTTGCTCAGATGAGCAGATGGGAGCTCAGACAGGTTCAGTGAGTGGCCCAAGAGTAATCTGAAAGATACACTCCTTTGGCTAGTCTGACTCTAAAACCAATGTTGTTGGCTATATCTCCCTCTACCACTATGATACAATGCATTTGTTCACTGCCAAGCACTGTCAGCAGCTGTTGGGATTCTGGCCCAATCTTCATAAAGTGTTGGGAATTCTCCAACCCAAGGTCTGGCCTTGGACAGATGTGAGCTGATAAGAGAAGTCAGTGGTTTATCAAACTCTCATTTGCTTCTGAGTCTACTGATCCAGAAAAAGGCCAGATGACCCTAACAGGCTAACCACTAAGCCTCAGTTTCTTTCTTTATCCATAAGAGGAAGGTAAAAAAAATTCTTGCATAGTGATTATATTAGTTACAAGGAATAGTAGCTATTTTCATTATTTATTTGTTATATCACTTACTATTTGCCTCCCTGAACTTTTGGAACTTAAAAGGCAAGGTATCTGTTAGGATGAAATTTGGAAACATACATAGTAGGGAAGGGAAAGGAACAATGTTTAAGACTTACATAGTGCAAAGAATGTTCTCTGTTACTAGTGATGTGTTTTACTGACAACATTACTGCTATGGTTTAGATAAAAAAGTCATGTGCCTCCCTCCCACCGAGTATCATGTATTCAGAGCTGAGGCTTTGGAAAGGTGGTTGGCTAATATTTGCTGAAACTATTACTATTTTTTAAAATGTCAAACAGTTTTCATCAAAACAATAGGAAAAAGATAGCACAAAAACATCTGAAAATCAGTAAGACCCTACCCATCATAGGTCAAAGGTGCAGAAATATAAAGCTTTCATTTGAGAAGAGACCTCTTGGGTCCCCTCCTTGCTTGAGAAGGGCCACCTTAGGAATTGTTTTCCTAGGATTCATTTCAGTGTGCTCAGCCATCCAGGCACTCAGAGGCCACTGCAGCTGTAGTCCAAGGGGGACTGACTACTCCTCAAACTCGCAGCAGATGTTAACATCATCCATAGGAAGGATTGGGAAGCTAGCCAAAGAGTACTGGGAGGGCAGTGTATGAAGCTAGCAAGCAGCAGTTGAAGTTGAAGGTGCAGTATATACCTGAGGAAGTTGAAGGTACCAGGAATGTGGAAAGTCTGCTGAGGAAAGCTGCAGGCAGGAAGTGGAGCCAGCTCAAGAGAGAGGCCACGGAGACTGCAGCATGCAAGGCCATAGAAGCAGGGCTGTCCAAACTCTCTGGTGTTCACATCTTACCATAGATGTTCTCATGCAGCTATAGGATTTCATGTTTTCCCCACTGGCTTTTGGCCTCACTTTGGTCTGATTTATGTCTATTTTCCTATTCCTCCCTTATGAAACAAGAATGTTTACACCATGCCATTGTATGTTGGAGGTGGGAAAACTTCCTTTGGATTTTTACAAGGGCTCACAACTAAAAGTTTTCCTTTCACCTCAGGGAAGACTTTGAATTTGGAGTTTTCAACAATGCTGGAACTGTTGGCTTTGGCAACTCTTAGAGATAGACTAAATGCGTGCATGAGCTTGACATAAAAGTTTGAGGTAAAGGGGTGGAACATCATGGTTTAGATTTAAAATATCTCCCCAAAGTCTCCTATATTTAGAGGTGGGACTTTTGGAAGGTGGATCTTTGGGGTGCTGTACCCACCAATGGATTCATTACTGATGAGTCCGGTAGCTGAGTGTGCTGTTAGGAGGTGAGGCCTGCTTGGAGGTGGGTCACTTAAGAGCATGACCTGAAAGGATACATTTTTCTCCTCCATCTCCTCCCTGCCTGCTCTGCTTCCTGGCTGCCTTGCAGTGAGCAGCTTTCCTCTACCATATCCTTCTATCATGCAGCGTTTGCCTTGAAATAAGCTCCCTTTGGATTGAACCCACTGGAAGCCATGGGCTAAGTAAACGTCTTCTTTAAGTTGTGGGTGGTAACAATGCGACTAATACAAGTACCATCAGAAGCTTTTAGGCTACCTTTAAATTCTCTGAGTCTCTTGGGAAAGAGGTAGAATTCCCATTATCTCACAGAAGCTTATGTAGGCATCATGTAGGAAATTGCTGTGTTGAGTTGAGTAATGGTCACTAAATTTAGAACTTTTGCTAGTCTAGGGGTAATGAGAATGAAGGAGAATTAGTTGGCAGCTAGGCGCCTTTCTGAATTTCTAGGGAGCCATGTTGGCTGTGATCAGCACATCCCAGAAACTCACTGTCCTGCAGTGGTTGACTATGATCTAAATGCTTACTACAATGAGGAGGAATTTTATCAAGCTTTGTCTATGAGAAGGGGCCAGAGGGATGGCAGGGTTACTTCCCCATAGTTCATCTTTCGGCTGTTCCTGGTAACCCAGATATTTCCTGTATATCCCCCCCACATGCACCCACCTCCTAGGACCTTTTTCTGCCTTGGGTCTTAGGAGGACAACCTCTAAATTTTTTGATATATTTATAACAAGCATTAGAAGGAGTTTAATCACTCCTATTTTATGTAACAATGTACATTCACACACACACACACACACACACACACACACACACACACAGATGCATGAGTGTGTTAGTATCAAGTATTACCTTTTAGGAATATCAGTGTCTGGTTCTAGCAAGGGGGAAGAGGGAAGTAGCAGTCTAGGATAAGAGGCACCCCTATGTAGAAATATATGTCATTATACCTTCCAGGTGCTTTATCATGTGCAGGTAATTATTTTTCTATTAAATTTTCAAAGTGAGAAAGAGGAAGACAGAAGGAGAGACATAAGAGAAAAGTTATTTCAGGGTTGCTGATCAATGAGGGCCTTTACATCCAGCCAGTAAACTTGAACTGATACCTTTTCCTTCCTCTCCATTTAAATGAACTACTGCCTACCCTTTGAACAAATTTTGCAGCCTCTCCCAGAACTTTCCCACACCCTGTGCCTCACAGCAGGCAGAGTGACCTGGCAGCAGGGGCTGATGCAATGTGTCCTGCCCCAGTACCTAGCAGATCTGGTCTGTGTATGTTTAGCCTGTCATTAGGGCAGTGAAGAGGCACGGCACCAACAACAGCAATTTTCAGAGTTTTCTATTGAATGTCGAAGACGTGATCTGGGTAGCGAGACCCCCAAGAAGCTGAGACTTTCTAGGGAGATGTGTTTTGCCTTCATGATCTCCAAATAGTATTGTGCAGACAGGCAATGAATGAAGGAATACATGAAAAGTGGATAAAGGAGTCAAATAGACAAGTAAGCATTTTATGTAAGCACCTAAGCACCCTGGAGCGGGAAGATAATGAGAAAGTCTGGGTGGGATGTGGGGGTTATCTCATCTCATTCTCTAACATTAGAGATGTTTTTTGTCATGAGGGCATGATGGTGAAGGTTAGTTTACTTATTTATTCCACAAACCTTTATGGAGTCTGTACTCAGGTGTCTAGGAGGCCTTTGTGGGTTACCAAGGGGACTTGAGCTTCATGGTGATTTTTTTTTTTTTATTTATGTGTGTGTGTGTGTGTGTGTGTGTGTGTGTGTGTGGCCAGCTCAGCCCACCAGGGGGCGGGGCTGGCTGGTATGTGGTGCTGGGGGATTGAACCGCGGTCCCTGTGCTTTGCTAAGCTTGTTTTAAGTAGGTGCTTTAGACCACTGAGCCATCTCACCAGCCCCCGTGATGTTAACAAGGCCAAGAGAAGCTTGACTTGGAAGGTTCATGAACTTCAAACTTATAGGAGATTTGACTTCAACTTGATTCCAAAGACAGGAGATGTTGATGAATTTGATTTTAGGATAAGTCAGTAATCTTTTAACTGTGCTCCTATTCTTTTCACTTTTTGAACAACCAAACTTCCCCCGACCAAATCACACTCCTCCATTTCTTATTTTCAAAGGAAAATCAAGCCAGATAATAGGATTTTCTTAACTTCAACTTTTTCCTCCCTTGAAGGTTTCTTACACTCTTGTTACCAGTTCTTCCTTATTCATTGTACAGTTCTTTTTTATAACACAATAGCTAACTGATTCAGCAGACATTTGAATGCTCTTTGTTTTTCTTGTTTGTGAAATGTAAGAATGGAGCTACTCAGGGATCTTTAGGACGGCCTCTTGCTCATGCACCATGCTCTGCTATTGTTAGGGGCCATTGCTGTGACATTTGAGTGGGCTTCCAGGCCTCTGCTGGCACCTGGGCCAACGCTGGTCCGCCAGGCCCTACAGCTTGGGGTCTCCGTGATCAAGCATCTGCCTCCGGCTGCCTTTTCCTCAGGAATTAAGAGCAACTCTGAGCTCTTTTTCTGTGTTACATGTCTTAGTGAAAGTCCAGCTCTTTCTGAAATCCAGTATTGGCAGCATCCTCCCCTTTCCTTTCTACTTTTTGCCGAGGAAATACAATCTCTGAGAGAGAAGTCACTTATACTGGGATTTCAAATGAACTTGCATCTTTCTTGTAAATGAACGAGTTGATGAAGAAACCCAAATGTATCAAGATAATGAAGCTATGCTGTGAAGGTCATACTGAGACAGAGAACAATGGGTAGGCTTCCCTGCTTTGAGTTCCACTCACTAATTTCCCAAACTGGTCTCCCATTCAAACACCAGCAGAGCTGTGCCTGTTTCGATTTTCCTTGGGGAAAATATGCAGTTAAATTTTGAGGCACAGAAAATTTTTAATAATAATGATATCATCAGCTAATATCTATTGGGCTCTTATGCCAAATCATAATTGGAGGTTCACTATAGTGGAGAAAGAGAGAAAGAATGAGAGGAGAGGTGAGGGCAGCGAGTACATGTGCTAAGTCACAAGCCGTTTTTGCCTTCTCAATGCTAAATTTAAAAATCCTTCTGGAAAGATTTTCCTTAGCCTTGTTTCTGGAACAATAATGATCTCATTGGTGGCAACAACACCGCAATTAGCTCGTCATTCTCCTTCTCTTTAGATGTTGACATTCACTAGGAACTCTGTAGAACATCAAATTCTGAGACAGTTTCAACTGTTCCCAGGGAGCATGTGTGCACCTGTGAGAGTGAATAAACCACCGTCTCCAGCTTGCCTGCATGGGGAACAGGACCACACTTGGCCCAGCAGACACTGAGGAGGATTTGCTAGGGAAAGCAGGTGAGCAGCACTGTGGCCTAGTACTGGCTGTGAGTTGCCCACATGACAAATGACCGCTTAGAAAACATTTGCATAGAAACAAGGTTGCGGAAGGTGACTCAGGGTGGGTACCACTCATAGCCACTCAGGTTTTCTGTGAATCTCACAGGTGATAGATGTGAAGGTGTCACTGTTACCTGTTGTGTTAAAGCCGAAGAGGAGAGGGCAGGACACAGCGAATGCCAGTACCCAGACGGCTGTAATCATGAGGGCCACACGCCGGCAAGAGCCCTGGCCCGTGCCATGTTGATAGTGGACTGGCATGACCACTGCGGTGTACCTGTAAGAGGAAGCGACAAAGGGTAGACACAATGAGACAGGTTGGGGACTATTTAAAAGACAAGCTGGGGGCGGGATTTAGCTCAGTCATGAGGCATCTGCCTCGCAAGTGTCAGGCTCTGAGTTTGATTCCTGATACCCTGCTCTCCCTAAAAAAAAAAAAAACCTCTAAATAGTAAAAGGCAAATTGAAGAAGTTGAAGAAGGTTACTAGAGAAAGAATCAGGTTGGTACTTTGGCAGGAAATAGATGAATAAATTGGAGCAAGAAAAAAGAGTTTGTGTAAAAATGGTAGAAGGGTTGGGAATGAAGAAATGAGGAACTCACTGAAAAGGGCGAGCAAAGGGAGGAAGAATTAAAAATGCAGAACCTCTGGGTGGCTGGGGTGCTTCTGCCTGACTGCCCAGCATACACACCTTAAAGCCCCATAGCCTCACTCGAGGGCCCTGGCTCTGGCCTGAGTACCTCTGCTTTCTCACAGCCTTACAGACAAGAGCAGAACTGTGCCCAAAGAGGCTTACTCCTTGGCTGTAGCCTAATAAAACCCGTAACTCTCAGTGTGACAGCATTCTGAGTAGAAGAGTTTGCAAGCAGAGTTAAGTAATATCCAGTGGAGGCTTATTTTAGAATCATGCCAACAAAAGATTCCTGGGAATTCCTCACACGCATTTCTGCCTGCCGTGAGACTTACCTGGACAACTCTCCCACAACTATCTCCAACTTAAGATGTCTGCAAACAGGCACCATCAACAGCTTCCCCCAGCTCTTCATCTAGTTCCATTTTTGTCTTCTTGAAGTCTTCCAGCCTCAATACTTGGGCCTTGTGACTTTGCTAAAATTTTGCAGTCATCTCTGGCTAGTCATTCTGAGTTGGCTCTAGCAGATCACCGAGAGCGGCATGTTTGCCTAAATGTGTGTTCTTGCAGACTCTGACCCAGCAAATATTTTATAAATGAGGAATCAGAACTATGGAGTCCAGCAAAGGTGTGGGCGGCACAGAGCACGGCCTCTCACCTCCTTAGCCAGTGCCTCCGAGAGTGCCCCAGTTCCCCTCAAGGTCATAGAGACGCACAGGAGGTAATGGAGTCCCCAGGAAAGCTGGAGTGGAAAGGGTGGTTTGTACTTGGAGAACACTGTAGATGCAAGAGAACGGCTTTCTTTCCTTAATTAGCTTGATTCTGTTAATTGCTCTGTGTGTGTCCTATTAAAAGGAAGATTATTGGGCCATGTCCCTTAGATTCTGATTAGGTGCTTTTAAGTGGAACCCAGAGATGTGTATTTTAAACATGCAAGTGCTTTTTATTAGCTAAGTTTGAGAACATCTTCAGTCGGGAACATTTCTGTCAAAGATTTTTGTTAACTCGGGTAAGAAGTGAGAGACGAGACTAGGAAGTACCACTTTCACATGACACTTTTTCTTTTTTAAAAAACATGCTTAAACTGTTAGGAGGAAATGAGCACCCCCCCCCCGCCCCCCGCATCCCCCGCTCGCGCGGGTGCGCGAGGCCTGAGCTGTTCCGGCATCCGCCAGCGGAGGGCACCATAATGCAGCGAGAGCTCCGGCAGCTCCGCCGGGGTGAGAAGTTCACGGCTCACCTGGGGGCTGTGCGGGCGCCTCGAGGAGGCAGAGAGGGAAAACCCTGCCTTCGCTTCCTGGAGCCCTGCAGGGACCCCGAATTCCCACCCAGGCCGACCGTTTAGCCTCTGGTTTCTTTCCTAGTGATTGCAGATGACTGATTGCAGGCGAGCACCGCGGGGGTCGGGCTCGGCTCGCGTGTAGAGTAGCCTTGAACCCGGGCCGCCTCCGCACGCCTGCGCGCCGCAAACCCGGGGTCTTCCTGGGCTGTCGCGGACTCTGCGCACTTCCGGGGCGCCCCGGTGCCGGCCCCTTCCTGGGCTGGACATCCTGGCTCTCTGGCCCTCTCCCGTGTGGTCCTGGCTCCCTGGTCCCCGGCAGTGTGGCGCGGTGAAGGCTTTGGAGACGGTTTTGTTGAATCCCGGCCCTGTCACTTAGCTGTGTGGCTGTGGGCCAGTAGTTTGACTTTTCTGACTCAATTTCCTTGTCTTTACAATGGGATAACGATACCCGCCCTATAGGAATATTAACAAATACTGAACGAGGTTATCGCTGTGAAGTTTTTCAACACAATTTATTATAGACGGTATTGCTATTGTTTTAGTGCTAGCCCGAGGGATCAGAGATTTTCATATTAGGAGTTTATGACTGCCTTTCTCTTCCTCCTGGCTATCAGGGGTTTCATTTATTTATTTATCAAACAAACAAGAATGCAACATTTTCTATGTGCCAGGCACTGTTGGAAGTGCTTACAAATAGTAATTCATTTAAATCTAGCAACTTTGGGGCTGTTCCTATTATGTTTACTAAGCAAATAAGGAAGCTCTGGTTAATTTATCCCCAGGCCCAACAGCCAATAGTTCTTAACACAAGAACTATTTAGGTGGGAGAATCTGAACTTCTGGCCAGTCACTAGCTGAGAGCAAAGCCCATAGCTCAGTGTCTGAGGAGGGCAGTGTGCATGGCAGAAAGGCCCAGAGCAAGCTTACTCCTGCACTACTGGCTGTCCACCTTGGCAGGCTTACTTACATATTCTGAAGATAACACATCCACCTTGCTGGTGGTTTTGATTTAATGGTAATGAATGAACAGCTGTGCGTGCCCGACGTACAGTACACGCTAAATAAGTGGTGGCTATTTTTATTGTTGTGGCTTCTAGACGAATACCAAGCTAGTTTTTGCACACATATAGCTGGGACAGGAAGCCTTGCCCTGCGTGCCCCATCCTTACCTCTGGCAGAGGGAATGTCCCAGCCCTGCTCCTAGACTTTCTTTCTGTCCTCTTCTTCCAAGGCTAACCTTCTCCCATCCTCTCATGTCCTTTCTAGAGATTCTTGTGTTAAGAACTATTGGCTGTTGGGCCTGGGGATAATATAAGGAGCTACTCACTGCAATTCAGAGAGCATTAGAGGGAAAGTCAGAGAACCTGGCTTCGAATCCCAGCCCTGTAATGGAAAGCTGTAGGCCTGGCTGCAATCATGGAGCATCTCTGCACTAGGGAGTTAACTATGGTTGCCCTCCAACACCCAATTCCACCAGCCAGGTCTCTGTGGCTTGTCACTGTACTGAAGGTCCCAGTGCCCTAGCTTTGCACCCAAATCCCTGTCCAGGAAAGGAAGGGGTTGAAGATATGGATGCCTATTGAGGAAACTGACAGAGGGGGAGGAGAGAGCCTGGCCTGGGTGGGAAGGCCTGACTCTATCTCCCCGCCTGGGTTTAATGAGCTCTGCAAGGGCTGCTTTTCACCACCTTTTATTTGGTCAGACAGGGGGCTCAATAAATCTTTAGTTCCGTGGACTCCCCTCGCAGAGTTGTTGAAGGAGAAAGCTTTTTGCAAATGACTGGAAAGCCTTTTGCAAATATAAAGTGCTTATTTAGATGCAAACTAAAAATCCAAGGTGCCTGTGACTCATCTGGTACCTATTGTGCTCCCTGCAAAGACGGGAGGCTTTGCCTGTGTGATGGGTGCCATTTGAGAGCCACTTAAAGAACTCCCCGGTGAATGAATCTGGTTGCATTATTCTGGGCTCCTCTCGGAGGACTCTTAATTTTCACTGCCTGGTCGTATCCCCATCTTCTGACACATTCTCAGCCATCTCTGAGTGAGCTCTGACCCAGGATGCAGTGGGAGGGGGCAGACCTGCTGGGAAGGCTTGGCCACAGTGTGGGGGCCTGAGCTCCCAGATTTCCCACTCTGCTTTTTCAAAAAGAAAAGGCGGCTTTAATCCGAGCAGTCAGAGCTATGCCTCAGAATCTAATGACAATAGTATTACTTGCTTTCAAACTGCTTTTATCATTTCCTTTTCTTTCCTATCTCTTACCACCCTGTTATTACAGATTAGGGCTTCATGACCAAAAAATACTGAATCCATTTGGTCAAGTTTGTCAGAGGATGACTGGCATTGTGTGAAGACCAAAGGTCTGCGTGAATGACTGCATTTCTAATGAACTGACCAGCTATTTGGCATCACATGAACAGATTTTAATACTGCATACTGTAGACTGCTGTGAAGGACAATGGCAACGGCTTTTCTGAGGGCTATTTACATTGCTAGAATAGGCCAAGGCCTCCATTTTGAGATCTGAGGAGGAATGGGCCATACTGAAATACAAGCCCAGAAGGAGGATCCTTCTCCCCTGGGCCCTAAGGTGAGGCTGGGCCCCTGGGATTTCAGGCATGTGGGTGCTATGCTTTCTGGGGGTCTTCCTGGATAGGGCAGAAGCCAATTCAAGTTTTATTATTGGTTGTGTTTGAAGTGCTGAAAGAAAAGTGTGTGATAAGCATGGCTGCCACCACCAAAAAATCAGTCCTCTAGTGCAAACTAGAGAAAGATACCTCTTCCTGGCTGGCGAATTGCAAAATGTCATCTTTTCATGTGATAGGTTCCGGCCTGAGTACAAACTGCTAAATTATCGTGGCCCTGATTCAACACGGCTGAAGCCCCAAAACAACAATCCCCAAACATATCTTGGTAACGACCCCTTCTTCCTTCCCCACTCCAGCCCTGGATATAAACTTTTACCTTTCCCGCCCACACAAGGGAGCCTCCAACCAGCTCCTTACATGTCACTAAACCCACCCCTCAAGCTCCGCCCCTAGCTAAAGTCGTAAAGTCTCAGGCTCCCTGTCTCAGGTCAGAGGATCTGCCCATCTCTCTGCCCTCGGTCCTCTCCATGTCTTCAGAGTTAACAAAGGCTCCCTTCACCCCTTCTGCTTCACTGCTGCTGATAAAACCTAACATCACAGTTAACTCTAGACTTGCTTGGCAAATGGAGGGCTGGCTCAATTCCGTTCTGCAGAGCACAGCCTCAGCTTTATGCACAGCTCCTGTGTGTGTGTGAATGTATGTGAAAGGAAAGAGAATACAAACATTCTTGAGAAGGTGGAGAGAAGGGCTGGCTGGGAGTGTCCCAACCCCACTCCTAGACTCTCTCTGTCCTCTTCTTTCCAAGGCTAACCTTTTCCCATCCTCTCATGTCCTTTCTAGAGATTCTTACTTCTGTTAAGAACTATTATCCTGGGGATAAAGCTCAGTGGCACAGCGTTTGCTTGGCAAGCACGAGGTCATGAGTTTGATTCCTGGTTAAAAAAAAAAAAGAAAGAAAAGAATAAAGAACTATTGGCTGCCTTCAGTCAAGGACCAGTGAATTCAGTTCAGTATTCTTTGTTTAAATATTGTATGGGCACAGCAAGGAGATTCACTGGTGATAAGGATTTAGGTCTGATATAAGCATCTGGGGTGCTAGAGGCTACAATAATTGCAGCCCAGAATTTCCTTAAAACAATATATATTCCCCAAACAGGTACTAAAAATCCAGAAATTACATAATAGGCTTAGATGTTAGAGCTAACAATAAGATCCTTATTCTCTCTCTCTCTCTCTCTCTCTCTCTCTCTCTCTCTCTCTCTCTCTCCCTCTCTCCTCTCTCCTCTCTCTCTCTTCTCTTTCCTTTTCAGTACTGGGTATTGAACTCAGTGTCTCTGCCAAATGAGCTGGACCTTTTCTGAACTTTTATTTGGAGACAGGGTCTCCTTAAGTGACTAAGTTGCTCAGGCTAACTGTTCATTTTGTGAAAAAGATTGTATTGAAATATTCACATGTCACACAATCCACTTAAATGTATAATTTAATGTTTTTTGTTATATTTACAGAATTACACAATCATATCCTCTATTTTTAAACACACTCTTTAATGGCATTATTTCCAGAATTGTGAACACATTCTTTAATTTGCCTTCTCAGTTGGAGAGCTAATCAAGAGATACAGTAAAAACCCTCCAGTTGGCTGCTTGGTTTGCAACATCCTCTGTGGAAAGAGTTTTTATTTTCATTCTTTGGCTATTGTTCAACACTCCTGTTTTGGTGCATAAAGGAAGTTTGAGCCATTGCTGACTGGGGCCAGACACTAGCTGTGCAAGGAGAGGCAGCTGGCTACTCTGTGAGAGTTACAAGAGAGAGTGGTGCGCTGGCTCAAGGCTGACAGAATCAAGCTGTAGGAATTTAGAAGGGTTTTACAGGAAAGAGAGCATTGGGACAGACTCAGAGCATAAGAAGGTAGGTCTTAAGGAAGCCCAGAAAGAGAAGAGGCTGGAAAGGTGAACTGAGGCCATATGGTGGAAAACTTGAATCCTAGACTGTAAAGATAGTTTTAACTTTCATTCCACAGACTAAGGAGACAATAAAGAGCTTTAAGTAGGACAGTCTGGTGGATGAATTCTAGTGATGTGAAGGCCCAGTTAGTAGGCTGTCAGGACTTAGGCAAGAGGTCATGGGAGTCTAAAATAAGAAAGGTCAGAAAGCAAGGAAAGAGAGAGCTAAATCTGAAAAGATCACAAAAGTACAATATGTAGGCCCAGATTGCTCGAGTGTGGGAGATTAGGAACAGAGAGGAAGAGCTGAGTAAAACCCAGTATCTTAGGACAAAGATGCTATCTGTGAAAGGTCATCATAGGGTTTAGTGTTTTGATGCTTTGGCTTTTAAACTTAAAAAAACATTATAGTAGCTATACAATAGGATGTGTAAGCAGTATGTGATATAGATTTCAGGGTAGCAGGTAGGGATAGCTGGAGGTTTGGTAAATTTAACACAAAGTTTAACATTATTAATTTAGAGTCAAATAGACATGAGTTCCCATGATGGCTGGTCCCAGACTAGCTGTATAACTTAAGCAAGTTCTTTCCAGAAATAAAGATTATAATACTACCTAAGGATTGTTAAGGTGCAATGAGTCCGTGCATGTCAAAGCTTAGCGTAATGTGGCAAATTCTCAGTAAGTAGATGGTACTTGGATTCACCTCTTGGAAGTATCACATGCATGGACAATATTATTGGAAAAAGAGAAGAGATGGGGGCCAGCCAGATAGCTCAGCAGATAAAAGTGTATGCTTAGGCAGATGCAGGGGCCAGGGGTTTGATCCCCGGCCCACTGTGCTGGCCCTGCCTCTAGGGCATGCTGAGATGGTGGTTGAGACTGGGTTTGGTGGTCCATGCCTGTAATCCCAGTGCTTGGGAGGCTGAAAAACAGGAGGATTACTACAAGTCTGATCTGTGTAGTGAGACCCTGTAGACCCTGTACTAAATACCTTGAAAGAGAGAGAGAGAGAGAGAGAGAGAGAGAGAGAGAGAGAGAGAGACAGAGAGACAGAGAGACAGAGAGACAGAGAGACAGACAGAGAGAGACAAAGAGACAGAGAGAGAAGAGAGAGGATGTTGAGGATTCAGAGAATAGGTGAGAAGCTCTAGATTGACAGTGGAGGCCACAGGCTCCCCAGGGACCTCTCAGTGATCTTTCCTGCGCCAAATCTCAGGCTCAGGGGAGTGAGAGTGGAAAGAGGAGAGGGAGACAAAAGAGGACCCAGACCAAGGGCAGTGTGAGGTTGGGTACTTTTAGGGATAGTAATTGAGATTTTGGGGTGGAACACAGACAGCAGAGCCAAAATCATAGAAATCCATTTCAGCAGGCCAAAAGCAACTTAAAAATTTTTACTTGTTCTTAACTCTGTATGGGAAACCTATAGATCATAGCCATGCTTTGTAAAATTTCTTTCATCTCTTATCTACTTTTCTTCTGTCACCTACCTGTGCCCCACACCTGTGCGTTTCTTTCTCCTATCTACACTCCTTTCCTCTTTTCACTAAAAAAAGAAGCAAACAAATAAAACAAGTATGGAATTTCCTACCAAACAATTCCACTCATCTACAGAGTTGCCCATTTCCTTCCAGTTAGAAATCACAAAATCCCCAAAGGATGATGGAAAGGCAAACCCAGAATCCTGTTGAGGGGGCTAGAAGAGAGGAAAGCTTAGAAAATCTTACAAAATGACTATTTCTCTCCTGTCACAGAGGGATCATCTCAAACCAGAGTCTTAAAGAAAAAGGGGGAAAAATGTCCTTGTGTCAAGTCCTTCTTTTTAAAAAAAATTTATAAAAAATCATTTATTAGTTATTTGGTACAGGGTCTCGGTATGCAGCTTGGACTCACTGTGATCCTCAGCCTCCCCTGTGCTGGGATTACAGGCATGTACCACCATGTTTTAGTGCCCAGAATGGTGCACCTGGGGTCCCTGGACCAGCATGGCATGTAATACTGGGGATCAAACCCTGGTCTTTACACTTGCCAGGCAGGTGCTTAGACTGCCGAGCTATCTCCCCAGCCCAGCACGTCCTTCTTACAGGTGGCCCCACTGCCTCCCATGCAAAGCCTGTGCCTCCCCCTTCCTTTTGAAGTCATCTCTCTCCTAGGAAGCAGAATCTCAGCCCTACCTGTCTATGCTGATGGCACAGAGGTTCAGGATGCTGGCTGTACACATCATGACATCCAAGGTCACAAAAACATCACAGCAAATGCGGCTGAAATTCCAGATTCCACCTGTCACCTGGTATTGAAGACAAGAAGGGTGTTAGTGTTTCTCCTGACAAAGACATAACCAACTTTCTGGCTTCCCTATGCAGCTCAGCATAGACACTGACACACTCTTTCTGCTCCTGTGGTTACTGTAGGGCAGATGGACAGTGAGGGAAGGCCAAGATGTCCAAGCCAAGTTGCTAAAGAAAGAGCAAAGCCACAGAATGTTAGTGCTGGAAGGGATTTTCCAAATCAATCAGTGCAGTGTTTCTCAGAGGAGACCGCAGTGGGGTACTCACTAAGGATGGAGATTGCTGAATTCTCTGCAGACCAAGTGAGTCAGAATCTCTGGATCTGAGAACCATGGATCTTCATTTAAAAATAAACATCCTTAGGCATACTAAGTTTTGAAATTGCTGAGCTGGTCCAAACTCAGAGATGCTCCTTGTGACTAAGTGATAAGCCCATGGATGCATATTGGCCCACAGATGCACAGCTGGTAGTAAAAGAGTTTGGGTGACTGCCCAAAGTGCGTTTTGTGCCAAAAATGTCTCTCGAAAGCCCTCCATCCAATAGAAAGCTCTCCATGTACTCAGAAAATAATTTAAGAGCACATTTCTCATAAAATATAACTCCAAAGGGGGCAAAAAACCCTTCACATCAGGTTTAAAGCTTGAAAACACCCTGAAACTACATATATATGAACTTATATAGAATAAGTGTGTGACAATATGACTGCCTTTGACCCCTTATCTCCCTTGCTCTGATTGGGAAAACCTGGGTACAAGGGGGTGGGGAGGAGCCCGAGTTCTTTCTGCCACTTTCAGAATGAGGCAGGCTGGCCTTGCCCTCTTGCTTTGACCCTTGTGTTCCAAGCTCTGTCACCTCCTCTGAGTAACATTTATAAAAAGTCAGGAATTCAAGGAACTTCATTTACATTCTAGCACATTTCTGTTTTATTTCTTAGGCTTTTATATAACCTAATTGGACCAGGAAGGTGTGTCAGAGGAATTGTCACTTTCAGAATGTCCACAAACCTCCACTCATGGGCCCTGAGGCTTTGGGCATTTGCCAGCCTCCTGCCTGTGGGGCTGCCATTCTGGAGACCCTGTGCTCAAGGAGAGACCTGTGAAGCTCTGAGCCTCAGGCTGTGGCTGTGTTTTCATGATGTCTCTGCTAAGCAGGCCCAAGGGCTAGTTCAGAGGAAAGAGAATGGAAAATAGGCAAGGTAGCCTCTGCAGTGTCTTCTCTCCTACAACAGAGATGTGCAAAAGTGCTGTTCCATTGCCTGGTTTTTCTTGTCCAAGACTCCTCTGATTTGGCCAGCTGTTCATTCCTGCTCTATTCCAATAAAGCAGGGACCTGGAAGGCTGTCTCTTCTTTTTCTCTAACAATACCTTTTCCTTGGATTTATTTCTTTTTCAACCTCTCATTTTATGCCTATATTTGGTCATCTCCAGACTCTATTTTGAGATATGCTGACAGAAGATTTTTTTGTTTGTTTAAAAGCAATAATGAGAAGTTAAAACAAGTGAAGAAGCCATCATTTTTGTTCACTTGGTTATGGGTTTACTTTCTTTTAGTTCAAACATTTGGCTCTGTATAAACAAAGGCCTAAACTGAACTTATAGGAACTTAGAGAATGAAAGCTTAAAAAAAGAGATACAAGCATTCTGATCTAGAGTCATATAAGCCCAATGATTTTAAGGGAAACAGAAGAATGAAAGATAATTTTCTTATTATTACATAGGACCCTTGTGTGCTATAAATTCTCCTCAAAGTAGAATTTGCTATACTAAATTTCCTTTCTACACATGTCTACTATGGAACTATTTCTTTCTTTCTTTTTTTTGTATTTAGGGAAGGGTCTACAGGGTGTTCAGGGTCTCACTACTAGATCAGACTTGTAGTGATCTGCCTGTTTATAGCCTCCCAAGAACTGGGGTTACAGGTGTGTGCCACCACGCCTACTCTCAATCCCCATCTCAGCGCGCCCCACAGGCAGGGCCAGAACAGTAGGCCCAGGGATGGAACCCCTAGTCCCTGGGCCTGGTTGCAGGCATTTTTAATCTGCTGGGCTATTTGCCTGGCCCTTGCAACTATTTCTCAAATTGGGGGAAAACTACTTTTCTGTGTGTGTTGTTGGTAGTATAGGTGAGAGAAGAGAGTTCGGAAACAGCCAAATCTGTGCTTGCTGGATGCTAATTTATTCATTCATGCATTCATAAAGCAAGTACTTGTAAAGCTCCTAATATTCGGTCCACAAAAGGAGAGTACATTATGTGTGTTAAGAGATTTTACAATAAGTACTTGTAAGGTCTGCTCTTAAGGATGTCACAAGATAACCAGAGAAGCAAGACATTCCTGAATACAATAAAGATCAGCGTGAGAGCCTAATGTTGTTAATACAAACTAACATTTATTGAAAACCTACTCTACATGGGTCATCTACCCACCTGACCCATTCCAGGGATTTCTATAACTTTGATACTTCATATTTTGAAAGCTGAATTTGTTTTTTTGCTGTATGTGCTCTTAGGGTTATTGAGGAGTGTCTATGTCTCCTTTGATTTCAGATTAAGTGACTGTTACTTAACCACCTAGATAATAGGAAGGACATTCACTTGTTTGCTTTGGGTTGTCCCAGGCATGCAAGTATATCTGAAAGACTTGAATAGTGCCTGATAGACTTTGTATTTTTTTTTTTAATTTATTTATTTTATTTATTTATTTGTGTGTGTGTGTGGCCAGCTCAGCCCACCAGGGGGCGGGGCTGGCTGGCATGTGGTGCTGGGGGATTGAACCGCAGTCCCTTGTGCTTTGCTGAGCTTGTTCTAAGTAGGTGCTTTAGACCACTGAGCCATCTCACCAGCCCTAGACTTTGTATTTATAGTAATAGCTAACATCAGTTGAATGGTTAGTTAATGTCTGGTGTCCTGCTAGGCACTTTACATACATGGCCTCAGATGCTGATCATAATCCCAGGAACAGTCTCTGAAGAAATTGCACCTATCTTAAAGATTCAACAGATTGTCCTTGGCTGAGTTACTGTAAGAGAATAATTGCAGATTGAGACCAAAACTACACTAGGCTCTCCTTGGACCTTTAGTAAAATAGCCATTTACTTTTAACCTTGCATCTGACCTAACATTCCTTGACTATTATGTAAAACTTTAGTCATCGCTAAAGTCAGAGCACTTCTAGCCTCCATCAACCCTAAAGCTAAGAATCTTGTATAATATTCAAAAGTTATAGACTGTGTGTAGAAGAGATTTTTCTTCACTTGGCTCTAGGCTGCCTACCTGCAGCCCTGTCAATGAATTTTTCAGTGTATCGATTTATGGCCTTCCTTGTTTGCTACAAAAATTCATGTAACCTCTTTTGTGGCAGAACATGCCATTCAGAGACACTTGAATCCAAGTTCCTGGACCACGGTTACTAATTTTTGGCTCAGAATAAAATATTTCCTTGTATTCTGTAAAGCAGAATTGCTATGTTACATTGGTAGGATTATCATTACTCTTATCACAGAGACAGAAATTAAAACTTAGGCCAGCACATTGTCATTGTCATATGGCTAAAAGAGACATAAGCATTAGAATGTAGATTGTCTGTGCTGCTATGGGGAGGAATTGAGCAAGGAGGGGTGGCTGCTAGAGAGAGATGGGAGTGCGCAGACACCAAGGAAAAGGAGACAGTCAAATGCTCAGCAGAGATTTTTGTGTGACAGACTGTGTCATTTCCTTCCTGGGGAATGAGAACTCACCTTGTTGCCTTTACTCAGGGTTACAAAAAGCAGTGCAAAAAGCAAGGAGGGCTTCTGCCTCAGAGAAAGCAGCCAGGTGGCTTTCTTTGCTATCCCTCTGTCAATCCCTTAGGAGCTAAATCCTTTGAGTTGTCCTCTAAATTCCAGACACCCACTGGAGGCAGCTGCATTCTCTCCTTCCTCTTTACCTGTCTTCAGAATCTGCCATCAAAATTCCGATTTTCTCCTTGATCTTAGTTGAGTGTCAAGAAGAAAACAACCTGATTAGCTGATTAAAGTAATTCCCACTAAGGTGCCATCACTTAGCCATCCCTGGAGCTTACTCATTAAAATGATTCTCTAATTGGTGAGACTTGTAATGGAAATGTTAAAGTGTTCATTTCTTATATATAAATATATATTTCAAGTACAAATACATAAATATTTTATCATATACTTATATATAAAAGACATACATATAAAATACATAATGGATATTATATATTTGTGGCTCACCCTTCCACATCTTGTAAATAATAGTGAGGAATCAATAAAGAGCAGCAAAGTACCAAGAACATGCCAGATCACCCTCACACATAATCTCACAGCAATGCTGTGAGGCAAATATGATTTCTAACATATAGGAAATGGAGATATAGAGGTTATTTGGTTAAAGACAGATAGCTCATAAAAGGAAATGGATTGAAAACCCCTTAATACCAACCATTATTCTGTCTCTCAAAGGTCAGTATTTTGGCACAGTATTTCTGAGAAGAGTACAATTTAGCTTCATTCCAATATCACAGGATGAAGAAAAGCTGACATTTGTCCATATGTTTACCCATATACTGCTATTTATTGAGTGTCCATCATGCACCTGGTATTTGGCTTGAGTAGGTGTGTGGAAATGAATTATAAACCTGTTTTTGTTCCTAGGGCCTCAGTATACTCTGTGTGTGGTATGGTGTGGTGTGGTGTGGTGTGGTGTGGTGTGGTGTGGTGTGGTGTGGTGTGTGTGTGGTGTGTGTGTGTGTGTGTGTGTGTGTGTGTGTGTGTGTATAAGCATGATGAAACTGAGGACCCAGAAGATAGATGCTAAGAAAACAACTATGATATAATATGGTAAGTGCTGACAGTAAGATAAGTACAAAGTGTGGGAGATCATGAAAGGTAAAGTGATTTTTGAAATTAAAGCAGAAAAAAGTAAAAAAAGAAAGCTGATTGATTTAAGCTCTTTAGAGACATAATTCTTTCTCCAAAATTCTAATGAATAACTCACTTCAGAA